AAGTACTCCAGAGTGTTGTTCAGCATGGGGGTGAGTAGAAAATGAAGGCTAATCATGTTTTGGGTGTACTATTCCTTTAAACCTATATTCCTTTGTGAAAGTGTGAGGAGAATTTATATTCTCATGTTAATAATAATAACATAATCAGAATCAGACATACTTAAATAATCCCAGAGGGAAATTACATTATTATTCATGATAATATCAGTCCTTATTTTTTGTGTCATTTCTACGCTGAAGTTCTTTACAAGGGGTGTAGAATATGTACCAGGTGGCTTCTTAAAGTTACAAGGTTGTTTAAAATTACTCTGAAAATTAGACAGAAATATACTAATATATGAAAATGTAATGTGTGCTTTTGAATACTTTAATAATACTGGGTACTTTAATACTTTAACTTGAGTAGACGTTTGAGTGTGTAACTTTTACTTAAAGTTGAGTAAGATTTGATTATGAGTATCAACATTTTCACACGAGTACTTCTATTGAGTACTTCGTCCACCACTGTGTTGAAGTAACTCTTTAGATGTTCTGTATCTTGTCAGCTTCCACAAAATTATATGTTTTACAATAATGTTTTCAAGTAATCAGAAAGATGGTCAACATATAACGATTAATGCATGAATCAAAGTTATGAGGCAACACATTTAAACTTATAACTGTAGTGACCCACCATAATCTCTCCAGAGTGTCTATTTACATTTACATTTTTCTTGTTCTACAACCTGAAAGCCATGTTTTTTGTTATTTCTCGACAACCTTCTCTGCCTCTCAGCAGAAATGAATCCAAAGTGAGGAAACAGCTCTAAGCTCCTAACATGTGATCTCTACAGGATACAGCCAGAGGTGGATTAGCGTCTCAGGCTGCTTGTGTTTACAAGCCGGAGATACTGCCTGTTCAATCTTTAAACTCTGATATAACAACCACTATTTCCTGTAGCATGACTTAAGAGTTAATATCTTGTTCAATTGTGTAAGGGATACCCCTACCCAATTCTAAATATCAGCTAGTGACATTTTAAAAAGTATGGCATTGGTAGAGGAAGAATTGCAAGCGCTCCTCTTCCATTACATGTGGTCACCTTGTCTTGGTTCTACATTTGCTACACAGCAGCAAGCATTGTGCCAGAAAGGAAAACATTTTGATTACTCTTACAGTTAACTCTGTATAAAAACAATCCTCAAAATCAAAGATGTTTGAACATAAAGTCTTGGGGGGAAAATTGGTTTAAGAAGTTATTTACAGTAGAAAAAGTTTTCTACAAAAATGTCTGCAGTTAAGCACTGAGATAGAGGTGAAGAGAGCAAAACATTCAGGACATAACAGGAAGGCTTAACATTTTGGAGCAAATGTTGTTTAACTTTTGCTTTCAAACTAACCTCTGTTTTTTAGCATACTGGATTTAAAACATTTTTGGGAAGTGTCAGTAAGGTAGATCTGTGTTCTATAAAAGAATCACAGTTATGAGATGCTTATTACGGTTTAAATTGTCAATCCTCTAATCATTTTTTATTTCTCAAACTCATAATAAAACCCAGTTTTGATGGTGACCTATTTCTCATTCACATTATGTAGAATCTGCTCTACTACTGGTGAAGATAATTAATGACCAAGGAGCCTCAAGAAATTGCGCAAGCTTTTTTTATTCTTCATGTTTTATATAAAAGTATTAAAAACAATCATACAACTTAAAAATTCAATAGGTCAAATCTTTGAAAACCCAAAAACAACAAATCTGTCACAAAATTCTCATACTGCAGCTTTAATCTTTAACTGGTAAAAGTGTGGCGGTGCAGAAAAAATTAAGAGAAAGAAATTAAGAAATTAAGAAAGAAATTCGACTGAACATGCCAAATACTTTAAAAAGGGCAGTCCCCAATCACCACCTCTACAGATTGTCTTTCCACCGTAAACTCAATAAAAAGCCAGATTTGGAACCATATGAAGAGTTCCCCTCAGCTAACTCCAAAGAATGGAAGTCTTAGAAACACTTAGTAGAAGAGTTAATCTTCAGATGAAAAGCTCTTGTCTAAAAGGGTTACTGAAAAGGTGACAGGTGAATTTTTCACCTGTCACCTTTTTTCACCATTTTTATTACTTAAAATTTTCTGTTACTTAAAGTTTTTAGGTTGTACAATTTAGCTGCTGTTGACTTTACAACAGAAGAGTTTGGAGGTTCGTAAATCATCATTGTTTCACCTCACGGCATACTGAATAGGTTTATTTCTGATCAGACCAAGCTGTGTGGCATGCCTATCAGTATTATATCAGGTCAGAGCAGAGCATGCAAGAAAGAGGTTTAAATAAACACATCCTTGCTAATAAATACTTAGAAGTCTATATCATAAATATAAAAAGTAATTCATTGGTAGAGGTTATTTGTTTACCTGCTTCAAATACGTGCTTAAACTGTACTCACATGATGAAATCATCATAGAAACAATGGATGTTAGAGGAAGTTAAGTGGTCATTTAAATAACTTCCTACTTCTGAATGACTGAGGTGTCCATTTTATACGTTGATTTGAGAAAAAGGGAGCAAAAACCATGATGTTAACATTTAAGCTATTAGAGAATTAAAAACAAAACATATTTGTACAAAAGAAGACAAGTTAGTGGCTACAGTAGGATGGATATTATCTGCAGCCTCCACCTATAGCAGATCAGCTGAGGTATGAGGCCCGGAAAGCATAGAAGCATAACATGTTCTTAGTTAAACTGGTTTGGAATGATGAGTTCAAGCTGATCTGGGGGATTGACACAACCTACTGCAGACACAAACCATAACGCAACGTCAAGTGAATCCTTTCAAACTTGACATTGTTGGGCTGGGAAAAGATAAAAACACTTGATCTAACAACAATCTCTTTTACAGAATTGCATTCTCTCCTATATGTGGGAACATTTTCACTTAAAATCGATTTAAAAAGCCTACAGAAGTAAATTATGTCTGACTGGCTTGCAAGCTTTCACCTCTCTGAAGATTTGTTTACTCTCCAACAAGATCCCAGGAATATAAAGAAAGAAAGTTCTCTACCTCCAGTTAAATCCATTTTAAGCTGGATTGTAATTCACATATTTTAACAACTTAATTGACAAGTTTATGCTGGTAAATCTCCATTCCAAATTCCTTAACTCTAATTTTAGCTTTCTATGTAATTTTCTCCTTCCCTGGTCCTTTTAGAAGCAGTAAAACTTACCATAAACTGTAATACAAGCACGTAAATTCACTATGGGAACTCTTTTCCTCGACTTGTCCCTTGTTAGAAACACACAGAAAGACATAAAGGTCTGTTAAAAAAAAATAGTGTTTATTTCCAAACTATACCTGCAGGCATCCCGTAAACCAATGTGTTTTACATAAGCTGTCCAACTTAGTGCAGACACGAACGCTGGAGTCCATGCTGGGAATGGCATTCATTGGAGAGAAGAGCCTTCACTGCATCTATTCAAGCCATCAAATAAAGGATCTAAGCCCGCTGACGAGAAACACATTTTACCACCCTTAGTTCTGCATGATTTTACTTCCCTTCTTTTTATTTTTATCTGTCGCCTCAATCAGTCTTGTCGTGCTTTATTTCTTTCAGAAAAAAATAAGGTCAAGCATGCTTCCCCTCTCTGTGTTTCTCTGCTGCAAGATTTACTTATTTAGGCAAACATCCGTTACTAGAGAACTAGAACCAGCAGGACAGAGCTCTGCAGATATCAGATGGTTTGCCCTGGCTGCGTCTCAGACACAGGTCATTGTGTCTGTTGGCCAGCTTAAATCCTGTTTCCTCTACCTGGGAGGATGCCTGTGGTGCTGGAAGTACAGAGAACCAACAAGCTGTGGATGGTGTCAGAATGCCCTGACTGTTTTAAAAAGAAAAAAAAAATCCTCTGTTTATAGGAATCTGCAGCTACGATGTGGCAATGTGTTATTATAGGCTGACCCAGGTTTATAAAAAAATACTTGATATATAGTTCCACACAGGATATACACAAATATCTCTACCAGCCTTGCAGATTCAGGGATTTTACATTTTGCTTTTTTTTACAGCCAGATTGGATGGAAAGTATCTGTGAACATCAGTACTTGAGTTTAACCAATGATTTTCAGATGGATTCAGATCTGGACTTTGACTGGATTATTGGATTATAGTTCTGCTGGAAGTTGAACCATTTCAACCACAGGTTGTGTTTCACTCAAGAAATGTCAAAATTGAGGTAAGATCCTAATAAAATGCTCTATAGTTTATTGTTGGAATTTGACAAAATATCAAACAAATTCAGAGCTTTAAGTTATTTTCAAGGTGCTGTTCATGTTAAAAATGTCCAAAGTCAGGTTTCTATCAGAGGCTTTGGCTCATAACACCTGTTTCATGCTGCACGGTGCAGAGAAACGTGAGATGACATATGTCAGATAAGATGGGAACTTGTACTGTTAATGAACTTCCTATTTCTTCACACTCACTCTTTCCTTGATGGTCTGCTGAGTCAACATAGTAGTTTATTTAAAGAAACACTCAGTATAAGAACTCAGGAGGATTAATGTAAAAAAAAAAAACTGAAGAAAGCAGAGCTGAACAATGAAGAAAAAAACAAACATGTGGGTGTTTACAGGCAGACCTATAGCCTCGCAGTCATTCAGTGGTTTCATAAATTCTCTTTTTGAATGCATGAGGAGGTTGGTCACCAAACCATAGGGGAAGAAAGTTCAAACCAGAGTGAAGTGCAAATATGTCTCGGTCCTTTCAAAAGCCTGGTCGTACAAAGAGCACCTCTAAACTTCCACCTAGCAAACACAGAGCAACAGCTAATGAAACATAAACCCGGTTCTTCAAAAGAAGGCTGCAAATTCCACCATTTTAAACAAAGACATGCATTGAATGATTACAGTATACTTAACATATAGCACTGCAAAAAATGGCTTTGGACTCAAAGGTAAAAGACTGAATGGACCTTTCAGCTATGCTTGCTTTTCTGATAAAATCAGCCTTCATGAGTTTTATTTTAATGGCTCTTTTTTATTCCTATTAAAGAAAGCACACTGTGTAAATTTCACATGGTTCAAATTTTATCTTGCCCAATCAAATGTTAATGTTTAACACTTTTCTTTGAAATGAAACTTATAGAAATATAGTGCATATACCCATTTCACTTTATGTGACAACTTTTGGGGAATATGTTCGTTTTGCAATAAAAAAAAAATATGATGATGACTACTGCAAGTACAATTTGATGAGCTACAAAGCATCATGAGCTCTATAAAACATCAGGTGATTTTCAATAAAACAACCTGGTGGTTATATCAGTAAACATAATTTATGAGTAAAATTTTATTTATCAGGTCTTTAAGTGGAACATTTATCCAAAACATAAAATTTTGGTGTCAGGGTTCTGCCCTCTGTGTAGGTTTATTTCTAGTTTCTATTTTATTTTGTGTCTTTTTAGGGTTTTTTTCTAGCAGTATTGTATTCTTGAGTTACTCTCTGTTGCCTCCTAATGCCCTTTTCCTTTCCTTTTTGCTCCCTTCTAGTTCGTTCTATTCACACCTGCTGCATATCCATCTCATAAGCGCTTTCCTTTGTTCTGTACACCACCTCTGCACTTCCTCATTGCTGGTTTCTTGTTGTTTTGTTGTTACTCTACCTGTTTTTTTTGCTTTTCTGTATTTTTGATTTTGGGATTTTTTCCCTTGTTGCCTTGGCCTCTTAATTAAATCAGCAAAACTCATCTCTGCCTACTCATCTCTATATTTGTTTTAGTGATGCTTTTCTCTTTAAACGTTTCAACATTAATGTTTAGTTTAATGTCAGGTATGGATCATCATGACCCCATAATGGTTAAAGGAGGACCGTCACGACCCAAACTTTGGCTATCAATGCACTAGACCTTATTCAGTAAAGGAAATCAGATGAGATCTCAGGTCAGAGTTCATCAGAGAGCAACTTACAAGACAGACATCCATGCAAGCAAAGACAGTCAGACTTCAGGCCAAACGAATATGGGGACACCTCGGCCAGGATGTATAACCAGATACTTGCTGTGAGGTGTTAAACCTAATGCTATGATGAATACTTTATATTTCAGAGATTTCATTTAAGGTTGTGAGTTGGATTTAAGGTGTCTTGGTTTATTTACAATATTAAGAATGTAGGTATTTCTTGTGGTTTTACCTTTTTCTCTGCGTTTAGTCGTTCTATATTAATTCTAAGTTTTATTATGACCTCTGTTTACCCGCTGCACCTTCAGTGGCTTTTCTTTTTCTGCAATTTGTGCTCCAGCTTCAGCCGTAATTCATCTCCAGGACTCTATAAAGATCCACACAACACTAACAGGAGTCCAATTGAGTTTATTGCTCACTGATGCCATAGTGGCCAGTTTTATAAAGGTATTGGTTTGAAAATAGTAACAATAGTGTTTAAGCATAAACATTGACTGACCGTTTGGTTAAAGGTCTAAGAAACTTTAATTTCTATGATCGTGGACATTTTGTTTTTGCAGTTTTTTTGGAGAAAAGTGAACCACTAATTTTAGACGTTTATGTCAAACAGCATTATTCTTTAGGGTAAGGTTCTGTTTCAGAGCCACTCAAAACCATTCAGCTTTACCATCTGTCTCATCTTGCAATATAACTATTCTACTTGCAATGTTTAAAACAAGAATCACAGTTAGGTTAAGTTCCCAAAGTAAACGGCTTGCATTGTAACACTCAAACCAGACGACATAAGAGCCAAATTGCAGCATAGTCAGGATGCTATTTATATTCACTGTCGGTTAGTTTCCTGATGTTGTCTGAATGAGGTTGCAGCATAGAGGGGTTTTAACTGTTTGAGTCTAAAATTATGTCTACTTTTACATAACTTTCTAAGAGACCAGTTTGGACTTAGCTCTTAGTTTTTTCATTGCTCTGGTGCAAATACAGATTGATTCAAGAGTGCTTTGCAGAGAGAGACAAGTTTGCCTGCAAAACATCCTGTAGCTTCCTCCTATCTCTCTCATGCAGATGCATTACAATCACTTTCTGTTCAGTCCTACCTTTAAATAACTGAGAGCGCCAATCTCCACATGGTGTTCACTTCCCCACCTGTTTTTTTTCCCATCCTGCTGGGTTTCCAGACTGCAACGTAAGTTTCCGATCAGATCTGAAATTTGCAGTGAGCTGCAGTGGAGCAACTCCACTGCTGCTGGCAAACTGGAAGAGGATGGAAGTAGAAAGGAGGAGGAAGAGAGGGAGGGAGGAGAGGTTAGTGGGTGGACCTAATAAAGTGTCAGCAAGCAGTGACTGCATTTTACTGAAGGCCAAGTTTGCATATCAAGTGTGATAAATGGAATATTGTGCATATTAGAAGGGCTGAAGTGTCAGCATAGAGGAATAAAATGCATTTGTTAAAAAACTGACAAAATTAATATTTAGCATTTCATTTGAGACCTTATTGTACTCCACAAGTTTGGGGGTTTATGGGTTTTCCCTGTTTAAATTTTTTATGCTTTCATTCATGATGTTTAATATTGGTATCAAGGCATGTTATCACCTATTACCGTACCTGTGCTCTGTTCACAGAATATTTTATTTCCTCAGATTTTAGTTTCAACTACATCTTTGTTAATTAGTCTTCTTTCTTCCTTCTAATCTCTTCCTCCATCCTATAGGGTCACAGGTTCTCATTGTTAATTTCTGGATTATTTACCACCTTTTTCCTGTAGCACATTCTTTGCCGAAGATTCATGTCCATATATCTCTGCCTTTTGCTATTTTCAGTCAGTTTTTTTAGTCATAATTCTGTCTGCACGTTCGTATAGAAAATAACCCACAGACATTAACAGACAAAGTTTACACAAAATGGAAAATATTTGCTAATTTGTAGTTTATTTCTTAAATGAAATTACATAATCTACAAATTAAAAGCATGTAATAAAAATTCCTCGATTGGAAAGTACTCTTCCTAAAGGTGCCTTTAGAATTATTTGAAGGGAGGGAGAACAAATGTATCTGCATTTTTGGACAATGTCTTTGGAATGTAGACTGAAAATCCCACAGAAATAGTAACACGCCTTATAAATCTATGCAAAGAAAGTGGCATGTAAACCTTAACCCTTAAGATTAGGGTTGGATGTTATGGCTTAAAAATCTAATCTCAGATTTTTTCCTAAGTAATCCAACTGATTGATCTTTTTTTCTCCCTTATATTTCATAATTAAAACAACAGATGATGCACATTACCTTCAGAAATTAGCTTTTATGTCAGTCATCCACTTTAGGAGGTGACCTTAATCTAAAGGGCAATGAAACTCAAGCTGTGAAAATGCTTGTTTCATAACAATCAATGAAACCATAAGAAACTAAATGGTAACAGCTGGCAGTTTTACACAGTCAGCTATTTTATTAGTTATAAGCACACATCTAAGAACTAAGAAGTGATGAATACATGTCAACCTAAGCTATGGTCTAAGAAGTAGAGTGGGGGGAAAAATCCAGATATTCCAAAATTCTAGCCTTATTAACAGGAAGTTTGATTCATCAATTGTGAATTAAGCTGTTTTTCATTAGCATTGGCTAGCAGGAATTAACTTCAGCATTAGTTCAGTTCTTGTTGAAACTTTTTCAACTGCAATTGAGACTTGTCAACTTTTGCATAGTTTAAATGTTTAACAATAGTACGCATTTTATCCACATTATTCTCTCTCGACAAAACCAACATATGTTGTTAAGTGAAAAGAAAAAAAGGGTGTAGGTTTGTTATCAAGGATAACATTTAAGGTGATGAGGATTAGGCCATTATGGGACGTTACATTTACAAACTAATATAGATGTTTACAATTTAACTGAAAATTATTTGATTAAACTTTAAGTAAATTAGAATTTGATACTTTCCAAAATCATTTTTTCAGTGTACAAAATCTAAACACGTGTAGTCTTTAAAACAACACAAGATACTAGAGGAGTTCAGAACCATAACATTTTATTCTGAAGTCATGGAATGAGACAATGTGAAGAATCACATTCTCATGTTAGACTGAGGCCTTCAATAATAAACCACTGTGACTCTTCCCACACTACTCTGACCGTGTGGTTGTGCTTCTGATCTAATCTAAATATGGGTATTGTTTGTCTGTTGTTCTTTTTTTCTTCCTCTTGTCCATTTATTTAGTGTGAAAACTCTCCTGGTATCCAAACTTAGGATCTTCTCTTGGAATGAAGTGAACTCTTTAATCAATCACCAGACATATTCCCTGACCTCCACCCTGCTCTTTAAACATGATATCCCCGGGTTACAAAGGGGATCATTTATTTTCTGTCTTTTTTTTTTTTTTACAAAAATATTTTTTCCAAACATGCTTTTAGAACGTGCAATGGTGCGCAGTTGTGCAAAGTGTTCATACCAATTTATTTTTTTACCATTTGCACTACAAACACAATATGTACTTTATTTCTAAGAGAAGATTTTGCTTTTCTTTCACAAACAAAATTTGAAAAGAGTGACATGCATTCATTAGTTTGTAGAATTACATTTTTGCAATTAGTTCTATGGGGTAAGATAACTGTAAAAAAAAAACAAACAAAAAAAAAAAAAAACATTTGTAGTTGATTGAATTTGTAAGTCGGTAAATGTGAAGAAATTTTAGATTTGTATTTGCTTGAAGTCAATCCTGCATACATGTCACATTAGATTTATAAACAGTTAGAATACAAGTTTAAAAGTATAAATTATAATTTACATGTAAGCATCGCAAATTTACAAAATGAATCACAATTTTATGATTACGAATCACAAAGTGATTCGAATGAATCACAAATTTGGGAAAACAGTTCACAAATGTACAAGTACAGATCACAAAACCATGAGTACGTATCAGAAGTAGGAATTGCAAATAAACAGGTATGGATCATATATTTATGATTACAACTCAGAATTTAGCAGCTACAAATATTCAAGCCCTGATGAAGCTGTTACACTCCTAAGCACTCGATGGCAGAGATATAACTGAAGGTTCTCTACCGACCAGCATTAAACAAGTAGAAGACAAATACAGATCCATAGATTGAACATCATATCTTTGCTAATGTGTTTTTTTTATGCATGCACAATATAATGTTTAATAAACAGTTCTATTTTTTGTCCTCTTCTTCTACCGATCATTTGATGCTGGTTGCTGAAAAACTTTTATGTTCCATTACTAACAACAGCTGGTAAGGAGTAATACTGTAGCTTCATCAGGTGTAGATTTTTACTGAAACGTTTGTAATTAATTCCTGTAAAATTATCATTCATACTCTTAAATGTATAATTTGTGGTTAAATTTTTAACGTCTATACCTGTAATCTCAGTGATGAAACACTTGATGTCACCTATATGTAGGACCTGACAACAAGGAAAAAATACAAATCTTATTTTTTTTTTTTTTCATCTTTATTGATTTGGACATTAAAAAATTCTGTCAACAATGCATAAATTTTTTTTATTGACAGTTGTTTTATGTCATAGATGCAAATCTTTTTGGAAATATATGTGCAGGCTTTGCACAAGTAGAAAATGAAACTTCTGCTCATAGCATTGGGTCAATGTATAAGTCAATTGTCTCTTTTGAGCCTTTTAATGCCTCTAATGTTTTTGTTTTTTTTCCATCTCTGACCAGCTTCCCCCTTAATCTCTCCTGAAACTCATCCTCACAACATGATGCTGCTTCCAGATATCTTTTTTATTTCACTCTAAAATAAAGATTACTTGCATTTTGCTGATCTATAACATAGGATTCCAGGATGTAACATGACAACGTTTAAAAACAAAAGTTCACTGGGGAATAGATACTTTTGCAAGATGCCGTTTTAGGCATAACATTCAAATTCATATTTTTGACTCAAAGATTTTCAGATGCATTATTTTCAGTTGTTCTGCGATAAATTTAAACCATATACCTCTAACGAACTGCACTAATGAACTGAACCATATATCACTTGCAAAAGGGCAGATGTTTGCCATCTACAAAACTTTAATCAGTCAGAAACTTATTTGAAACTGTATTCTCATTCAGGAAAAAAAAAAAAGAAAAACTCTTCACATCCTCAGGATTTCTAGGATTAGGTTTCATCCAGTCTGCAGTTTCTCTTATACTTGCTGAGGGAAGAGTTAATGCCAGCACCAGCTGTTGCAATCTGAGAAATAATCTTTTAAAAGTTCCAGCATTCCTCTGGATGAACCGGATCCCAAGGTTTTAAGCCAGCAAGGAGAAACTGATATCTGGTGACACGTGGAAAAGAAGAGCAAGTGGATCCTGGATTGATTTAGAGTCGAGTTAAATTTTTTAAAAAGGACCATGAAGGATAAAGGAGCAGATATTGTGGAGATGAGGAAGACAGCTCCATTTGAGAAGAAAAAGGAGAAGCAGATGTGATGACCGTGGGTGGGGGAGTTGATGAAGGCAAACATCTTTGATGGGAAAAGTCTGTGAGGATTTGCTCCTGTTGACAAGTATCAGATGGTTTCTGACGAGCATGGAGAGTAAAAAAAAAAACTATAAGAGAGAAAAGAAACAAATAACAGGAAGTCAGGCAGCATAATCTGTCTGTTAAAAACAAAGCTGACTCTGTGAAGGACTGTAAGGAAAACATTTTGGTCCATGTTGCTTGTTTAAGATATGCTTGCAATAAGATCCAGTGAGGATTAAAGGAAGGACCACCCTAACAAAACATATGGGGGCAGAGCAGACAGGGAAACAGGCTGAGAGGAGATCCTAGTTAAACAGGATGAGGAGTTTCAGCCAGGAGTTTCTTTGCAGGAAATTGCTTTCTCACAAATCAGATGTTCAGCCAGGAAACCCCAACTTCTTTATAAGCTATAAACCAGTTTAGAAATCTTCTGCATCTTCATATTGTTGCTGTGCTTTTAATACAGCAATTACTGTAAAGGATTAAAACAAACATAGAATAACAATGTTTTTTATCAGTCAGTCCATAATTGTCTTGCTATATTGAAAGGCATTTGAATTAAAACATGCATAACAAAGGTTATTCAGGAATTTGAGATTATCATTCTACATAAGGAGAAAAAGGTTTTCTGTCTGCTAAAGGAGGACAGACTGATGAAGTAGATCCATGTGTTTTTCTTTTTCACTCCTCTTCTGTGGTTTCAGAGCTGGCAGGAAGCTGGGTGCTGGACAATAGAGCATTGTTCAGTCACTTTACAGCTT